CACGAAATAAAATTGTAAATCGGAAGACCCCTAATGAAATTCCCCCTTCGAAGTTAGAACTATCCGTCCCCCAACACCCACTCTCGGACTACCATTTCCACTTGCGGATAACACAAGAAAATCTATACCGCAAACATATGGCAATCCTTATATATGAACTGAACCAACATTAGTACCCACAGAATAAGATTCTCACTATCATTTTCTATGGGAAAAATTAATGTTCATATATTACCAATTCTTCAGTTGATTGGGAAAAGAAGGCTGGATTTTCTGGAACTGGGTGGAGGAACAGAGGATTTGTGTAATCTGGATTCTCTTCAATCAGCTGCATGAGTATTAATCGAGAAGAAGAAGAATTAGTAGTATTAGTTGCAGAAAAAGAAGATAATTTGTTGGAGAAAATTTCAATTCTTAGTTGTAGAGAACCATGGGTGTGGCTATCTTCGCTCACGTCCAGCCTTCTGCAAATGTCTTCAGCCTTCGTCAGATTCATTGTTCATCGTCTTATCTTCGAATTCGCCCTAATTTCTTTCCTGGTCGACGATGGTTAGATCCCAAATTTCCCTCTCCCAGGTACCCGGCTTATTAATCTGTTTTCTGTTTTTTTGTTGAAATCTTAATGTTCAGATAGGAGAATTATCTTCCTTAGTTTCAAATTGATGAACGAAATTGAATAACTAAATGCTATTTGCTTTATGTTTTAGCATTTAGGAATCTACATTACTTGCACCATCGAAGTGAAAATGAAAAGTTATACTGCATTAGCTGTGATGAAATCCTAGCGAAATCTGAATTGGTTTCCAGGAACCAGTGAATATGTGGTACAATTGTACTGGTACTAGTCTAGAAAATTTTTGTAGTGAGATGTAAAAATCTGTTTCTACATATGAATCATAAACAAAAGAACATAGGGTAGTTGGTGAGGTTGCGGAACAAACTTTACCATCTCATACTTTAATGTTTCCCGGTAATTTGTCAGCACACAGTATTGTGCAATTGAAGAAATGAAGGAGGTGGAGCTTGTTCAGAATTTATGCCTCCATTGGCTGTTCATGCTGTCGTTGATAATCATAGAACTTAAAGCTTTTAAATTGATCTTTAGAAGTTAGGAATGTGGATGTAAACTCTTGGTTGTTTAACTTAATTTTATCCCTGTGTAACTGATATCATGAATATGCTAATTGCTCACTTTAATTAGTTAACCATCGTAGTGGGGTGATGTCATGTAGTAGATAGATTTGTTAAGATGTGTCTTTAAGAAGTCTTGAGTGGATGAGGTTATATACAAATTTGTCCATTTATTCATTTTTTTGCTTTGTCACTCTAGGTGGCTACTATAATATTTGACAGGCTAAAATTGAAAGCCATGGGACTTTGACCCACAGAGCTAAGAATGCCAATCTTTGGGTGGTTTTTTGGCCTGATTTAATACCATACAAACTCTCTACCTAAGAAATATCGTCTTGTTTGTCATTGAACACCAAACAAATACTGTTAAAGCATAATATATATATGGTGCTTTCTCATCCATTTTATATTATTTGAACACTTTCCTCGTGGTTTTTGACATTAGAGCATTTTAAAATTTTGAGAGAGTAGTTGCAAACACATCTCTTGTAGCCATTGCTTTCATCGAGTTAGGCTATAAAAGTTGTCTTGTGAACATAATGCTTTGAATTTTTGCACACAACACGGTTTTGGGACACATGACTAGAGAGAGGAGAGTTTAAGGTTTAGGACAAGATACATTCACAGAATAGAGCATTGACAAAGTTATGAAGGCATTACCAATGGACCTAACTTAAGATACATTGACACATTTCTCTATAACTTTTAAAAGATATAAAGGATTATCGATCGACACTGACCTGGCACACTAGATATGACCTGGAAGCACAGAGTGTGAACAACTTTATGTATTTCTTAAGTGCTTTCTTCCATACTCGAAACTCGCAGTAATGGTGAGTCATAAATTTTATTTGTTCCATTTCTTCCTTTAATCTTGTGTCTTAGATGACCAAATTGTTTCCCAAGAGGTCAATTAGAATGCCATTAAGCTATGTCTCATCTTCATGAGCAAGTTCAGAATATTCTATGGATTTGTTGCCCCCAGAAATTTTAATTGATTTCTAAATGTTGGCTGAGAAAAAGGTTACGGTAGGAAAAGATATGGTAACATGGATATCCACATACACTAAGTTTGATTCTCTACCTTCTTTATTAAGTACCTGTGCAAATTGATTATGCATTTGTAAGTAATACTTGTTTTCTTCAATGTCCATAAGGCCTTTTCTCTTTGATGCTAAACATTTAGTTTTCTAATTTTTAGCAGTGTATCTAGTTAGATTGATAGTATATCTTTTCCATTTTAAAAAGCAGCTTCCACTAGTCCATCTTTAATTTTATGTCAATATGTCAGACTCTTCGCTGAACATGTACACTGAAAAGCTTGGACTCTTATTTAGCCAAGTAAATATAAGTTTATTTTACATTGAGGTTGTCGAGTTTTTACTTCTCTCAGTACTTCTTAAAATTTTGAATACTTGGAAAGGGAGACTAGATTACTTGTATCTTTATGTGCAAACTTTCAACAAAAGGATCCTTTCTCAAAGTTCAGATTCAATAGAATTGATCTTACTGAGGTATCATCAGAGTGTAATCATTGTCCACGTTTTTCATAGAACTATGATGTAGAATATGTTGATCATCAATTCTACTACTTGTTTGCAGGCTTCACTGTTTCAGTTTAAGGTGTTCATTGACCAATACCGATGTCTGCAATTTGGTTGCAACTGATGAGGAAGACCATGAGGTTACCACGTCTGCTGATTCAAATTGTCCAGTCCCTACTGTTCATTACAAATGTGATGCTTTGGAGACTGAAGCACTGAATTTACTTGCTGGGGGCACTTATGCGGACACTCTTTTGACAACATTGCCTGTACGTTACATTTATCCCCTTTTTCCTCCTCTTGCCATCTTCACCTCTTTGAAATTCTTACCTTCCAATTTTCCAAATTTCATCTTCTCCTTTTCCTGGGGATCATTTTGTAGGTCCTATCAGAGGAAGAGCAGAATGCTATTGCTGCAACTCCTGCTCATCCGGCAGGACTCTATGGTTAGTGCACTCTTAAATTCTCCATAGAATGAGCATTTAACTGGGGAATTAAGTTCTACTAGCGAGCAAGTTACAAAATGTTCCTTCAAAAACCTTATTATGTCCAACAAATCGCAATGTCGGGTTTAAAATGTTTACTGGTCCACTGAGATCTGAGTACACAACTGAATAGGCTAAAATGTAATATTTTACAATAAATACAACGTTATATAGGTGTTAGATATAGAGATGACGTGGAATGGCGTAACCTCTTGAGTGGCTCCTGTGGCTTCCATAGATATTGATTGATTTTAGAGATCTACCACTCATCCGTTAACTTTCTCGTCATCATTGATTATCAGTATTTTTAAACAAGAACAAGCACCACGGCTGGAGCCTGCTTCATATTTTCACCCAAGAGATTTCTGGAATAAATGATTTAACCTTAATCTCTATGTTATGTAGATAATTCTTCTAAGGCCCCAATTATCTTTTAAGTAGGTACTTTGTAACTCCTAGTTCATTGCAAGTGTTCTAAGACGTTATCAATATATCAATAATCAATATTTTGTGTACTTCCATTTTTACACGGAGTTGGAACTTAGGGAGGAATAAAAACATATCTTGCAGTTATTTCCTATAATTGCATGAGTTTCTAATTAAAGTTACACGTACTATAAGCTCTATATGCTAGTTGCTTGGCTGGGAACTTGGTGGAACAGCTTTGGAATTTTGCTTGGCCTGCTGCCATTGCATTGCTTCATCCAAGCCTTCTTCCTGTGGCTGTCATGGGTTTTTTTGCAAAGGTATCTTTCAGCATAGGTGATTAGGCCTAAAAATTAAGAAGCAAGAGCAATTTGGTTTAACCATCATGTTGAACAGCTTGCAGTAATTGTTGGGGGCCCTCTGGTTGGCAAGCTCATGGATCATTTTCCTAGAGTACCTGCATATAATTGTTTAAGTTTTGTTCAGGTATTCATTTTTCTTATAGGAGCTAATCTATCGAATAAAGATTTGTTTGTTTTAAAAATATTCTAATTCTTCTTATTTCTTTCAGGCAGCTGCTCAATTGTTGTCTGTTGGAATGATAATTCACGCTCATGCTATTCATCCAACTTCTGTGTCCTCTGTGCTAGTCCAACCTTGGTTTGCTGTACTTGTATTAGCTGGGGCTATTGAGAGACTTTCTGGACTGGCTCTGGGGGTTGCTGTGGAGCGTGATTGGGTTGTCCTGGTTGTTATAATTCACTTTTTAATTTTAGCTTTTTCTGTTCATGTCACTATTTTGTTATGTGTTGTTTTTATAATTTAAATTTATTCCAGTTAGCTGGGACAAACAGACCAATTGCCCTTGCTCGAGCAAATGCTGTTCTTAGCCGAATTGATCTTGTCTGTGAGGTGATTGTCATGTGTGGTTGCTTCGTTTTTCCTCCTCTTGCAATTTCTTTTATTTTGTTTAAATTGTGAGCATAACCTTAGTTCGGATCAAATTCTCATAATCTTGTAGAACTGCAGATTGCAGGAGCATCACTATTTGGTATTTTCTTATCTAAACATGAACCAGTGACGTGCTTGAAGCTTGCTGCAAATTTGATGATATGGACACTGCCTGTTGTGGTACTATCTGGCCTCACGATATTGTGGATTCTCTTTGAGCAACTTTGTTGATTTCTAATATTCCAACTGCATGACCTAGGTTGTTCTCACATGGCTGACCAACAAACTTTCTTCTGGAGTCCTGGACCATGCAAAATGTTCGCAAACCAGTTTCAGTAGTTCCTCTGCTGAAACTGTCCCAGATGCTCAGAATATAGGTAATATACTGGTCTGTAACTCCTGAGCTGGGAATTTCCCTTGGTTTATTCGCTGATTCCATCTTTCTCATATGTAGTGGGTATGAGTATAGAAGCTATCCAGAATGGGTGGTATGAATACATACAACAGCCGGTTCTGCCAGCCAGCCTTGCTTATGTGTTACTTTACTTCAATGTTGTCCTCGCTCCTGGTGGTTTGATGACAGCATTCTTGACACAGCACGGTATTGTCGGGGCTCTTAGCTTGCACAACTTCCTTGGTCACATTTGTTATTATGTGAATTTAGAACCTATTTACTGTGCATGACATGTTGACCTTGTCTCTAATGTTAAATTTATCATTATTGGCCCTAAGTGTCATGATAATTGTGAGTGTTGGTATAAAGCATCGTGATGAACACGGGCATGTGCTGAAACATAAATCTTAATTATTCATTGAGTAGTGGAAGCTTAACAGTTTATTTACCACGTGATATGTCCAACCTCATGAACAGCTTGTTGAATTGATCTAGAATAAAATCAAGGATGCTGAGACTAAAATAGAGCAAGGGCTGGATACAGAATCAAAAATAAAAGAGAATGTGCAAGATAATATATCGGTGTAAAATAGAAAACGGTTGGCGAGCTCTGATCTGACATTTTTTTTTCTTTTTGCAATTTCCATTATTTTCTTCTTTCACATTTCCTCTATCCTTCCAGTAAAGTTTGCAACTGAATGAAGAGATCTTTTCCTTTCTCATGCTGATTTGAATTTTTCTACATTGATTCAATTGATATTGTTGCAGGTTTAGAACCTTCTATTATTGGAGGCTTTAGTGGATTATGTGCTTTTATGGGAGTTGCAGCTACATTTGTATCTGCAAAGATGGTCAAGAGATTTGGCATTCTAAAGGTTCACCCTTTGCATGCATAACATGTGGTGTTGATCTCAATGTTTATTTATGATAGTGAACTTTCTTGACCTGATCTTAATTAAATCTTATGCCAGGCCGGAGCAGTTGGCCTGATATTTCAGGCTTCACTCCTTACCGTTGCCGTTGCTGTGTACTGGAGCGGATCTCTTTCTCAGCAGATTCCACTTCAATTCTTCTTGTGTTTAATTGTGAGTTGCTTCCATCTTTTCATCTTTAATATTAAATACACATCTATAGTAGTTTTGATTAGAATCTAAGTGATTTGAAGTTTAACTATATGTTTCCTTTTTTTTTTTTTTTTTAAAATGAGAACGGATGGTCACTCTTGTCAATACGACTTAAGAAGCTTGATTGGGTATTTTCTATTTAAATAGTAATATTTTCTCTCTTAGTTTTGACCTTCCTTTTCTTTTTCTTTTCTTTTTCCCTTTCCTCCTGTCTTGTGCAGACTTGGCCACCCACCCCACTGTATTAACTGACACATCATATATTCTTTCTGCCACATAGAAACGGGATGGATCGTGATAAAGTTATTTTTTGTAAACAGAAAGAGAACTTGAGTGATCGTATTGAAACAAAATAAGTTAAGTGACTTATATGAAACTATGCTGAAAGTTGAGTGACCAACTGTTTTTTTACCAACTTTTTTCCATCTCCCATTGGTTTTGAAATCTACCAATGCATAAGATGATGTGAATAGGTATTTTCCAAATCTGATTTCCTAACGTAATCAATCAGAAACTTTTTGTTTACTGTTCTTCTCTAAAATAGTTCTTGTTGATGGCTAATTCTCTGATACCACATTCTATCGTCAAGTTCATTTTATTTTTCTTCTACCTCTACCAGTTATGTTAGCATCCAAAGTGTAACATATTTTTATATTAACAGGTATTATCTAGATTGGGACACATGTCCTATGATGTTGTAGGAGCACAAATTTTACAAACCGGGATCCCACCATCAAAAGCAAATTTGATTGGGGCGACGGAGGTTTCAGTTGCAAGTTTGGCAGAGTCAGTAATGCTCGGGGTTGCAATAATTGCAAATGATACTTCAGGTTTTGGATTTCTGGCAATGCTCTCACTTCTATCAGTAGTTGGAGCAGCTTGTTTATACTGTAGATGGTTGAAGAATCCAACTGATACACAAAGGAGTCTCTTCTCGTTTGAGCCTCAGATTTCATAGTGTAAGTAGTACTTCTTTTTTTGCACCTGCATTTCTAATTTGATTAATTAGTATTCTTTGATGTATTGTCACCAAGTTATTCTTTCCCTTTTTTTTCTTTTCTTTTGAGCTTCACGTATAAATCTAATATAGGAGTGCGTGAAGAGTTAAGAGTTTTACTTGGCTGAATATTAAATGGTATAGGCTAAGAGAGGAAGCTCAAAGAATCTCACTGAATGCCTCAGATCATTTTACTCCATAATAGGATATAACAGCCACTTATTAGAGCTTGTTACCCGCATTCATTTATCTTGATTTTGTACATTTTGTAGCTTGAATCTGATGGTACCTCCAAAAAAAGAAATAGGAAAATGAGATTAAGCAAGGTTTAAGAAGGATAAATTGAGTACAAGGGTGTTTACCTCTATGAAGCGAGGTGTAAGCCTCAAGTCAAACCAATAAATAATTTAAAAGATAATAAAAAATACAAAATAATGTCCACAAGTAATAGAAAACCATCTTAAAAATATCTACGATAAAATAAGTTAATAAAATCAATAATCTAACTTTCAAACAAACATATAATGGATCAATAATGTAGCAAATAATAAGTTCATAAATTAGTAATTATGTTTTGTAAACAACTACTAGGAGGAGAAATAACCCAGAAGTCTCCTTTGTCATTACTGCTAATAGGATCTTTAAAAAAAACCGTAGGCATATCTAATTCCATATCATTCTCCTCGTTCCTATCAATTTCTTCTCTTCCGTGTCATCATCCTCTACTTGCAATGGTATCTTCTCCTTCGCCTTTCACTTCATGTAACGGTAGAAAATAGAAAAATACCCATAAAATGTTTTAGGTCATAAAACTAAATAGCCTTAAAGGCTAAAGCTAATAACTGCTAATAGGATCTTTAAAAAAAACCGTAGGCATATCTAATTCCATATCATTCTCCTCGTTCCTATCAATTTCTTCTCTTCCGTGTCATCATCCTCTACTTGCAATGGTATCTTCTCCTTCGCCTTTCACTTCATGTAACGGTAGAAAATAGAAAAATACCCATAAAATGTTTTAGGTCATAAAACTAAATAGCCTTAAAGGCTAAAGCTAATGGTAAAATACTTAGAAAAAGGCACGACAAATGATTGAACGCCTTTGTCGCCGTGAAGCACAGCCTTGAGGCTCAAGCCTCAGTAGATCGAGGAACATGCCTCACAATTGATGTTTTAAGGTATAATCTTTGCTCACTTGAGATGGGGAAAGATTTTTCTTAAACAATGAGATTAAAATATCAGAGTCAACATTAAAGAAATTTTCGGAAGCAAAGAAGCATTTCTTTTGCATTATTGGATTCGAAAGATAAGGTTTCTTTCAACATTCAGATTAACTGGCTTGGCGCCACATTGTTTTTGGAATTGCGTGAGCGTACTAACTCGTTTTTTATCATCGTCCTACAGCTGCAAAGGTCTAATGTAACACAAGCTGACTGAAAAGAAGATTTCATACTGTCTTATCGATACAAATGAAGCCCAGCTATGCTTTTCAGTCACTCGGTTCGGATTGTACACTTTGATGTGAAATCCGACAGCATGCATTCTACACCATTTCCCCCGATGAAAAATTCAAGATGGTCCGTCGCTATAGATTGGGGCAAGCTGTGTGCAAATACATTCAAACACTGTGTCAAGCATTTTTATTGTCGTTCTAGTCTAGGCTGTTACACAACATTTGGTAGAGAGAGAGAGAGAGAGAGAGAGAAGTGATTTTTGAATAATATATTATTTGTGTAGATGGCATATGTGAACTATATTTGAGAGATTGAGCCAAGAATTCATAATGTTCATTTGCATGAAGACGATAAAATTTGAGGGCAAGTTTGATTTTAATTAGGTATTGTCTTTAATCACTACAAACATTTAGGATATGTTCCTATATTGAATCGAACATTACTACACAATACTGAGAAGTGTAGGCGTTTTGTGAGTTGTTATGTTCAATCTTTTCTAGTAAAGTTGCTAAACAAACATTGAAAATATAGCCATATCCAACATTGCAAACCATTTTTAAAATTGCATAAGAGACCGGTAGAATGTGTTGCGTATTTTCTCACTTAAATAAACCTAGTATTTTGCAATATCGATCTTTTTATTGCATTATATTGAAACTCTATTTTATAGATTCAAGCTTAGGTCAAGCATTCTTAGGGGCCAAAGTGCCACGTCTCCAGCAGCTCTATTCATTTTGACACCACTATTAACATATCATTCGTAATTACGATAAAATGAACTAATTATATTCGGTATATTCAAGAATTGTTTTCTCGTGAATCGGATATATCTACACGATTCCAAACATTAAATCTAACTTTTCTTTGTCGTATTTCGAAACTAGACGAACTATAATGGTAATCATAGTTATATTATATAGGGTGGCATTTCTAATCCTTACTGGGTGTTTCGCGCGGGTTAAGTCGCTAACAATTAAAAAGGGTCAGACGATTGTGTAAGGGACGAAACCTCTTGAGACAAAGTCCAAAAAAGGGGTGTTCTTTTATTGGCGATGAACTTTACAATTGGGAATGAAAAACAACGTGCCTCCAAGGGACGCAAGCACACGAGTTACAGAAAGAAAGATGTTTAAATCTAAAAGCTAAGGAAATGAAAATTACATATTCTCTGTTCGAGAGTTTTGGATTCGGTCTCTTGCTTCTGCGTCATTTCTCCCTTTTATACCTCGTAGACGATCTCTTTGTGATTAACTACCCTAAAAACTGCTTGATCGTCCTATAACTACCCACTTTCTTTGTAGTGGCCATTTTGTCATGAAACTGCCTTTTAACTGCTGCCATTATCTTTCATCGTTCAACTGCTTTCGATTGAAGTCCTTGAGTTGTGGAACGTGATAAGGCTACTTTAACAACTGCCTTGATAACTGCATTCCTTGACAACCACGATGCGTTATATTTGTTGATACCTTGGGCGACTTGAAGGCTTGGGCGAGAGTAGAATAGCAGCTCTGGGCGACCGTATGACACTCCATTCGTTCAGATTCTGGGCGACTTGCAAACTTGGGCGATGGCGTTACCGCATTCTTGGGCCCCTTATTTGGGCCTTCACCTTGACTCGTTCGATTGGACTTCGTTCTTTGGGCTATCCGA